AGGCCAACCTCCCCTGCAGCAGATTGGCGTGCGAGGTCGCACACCAAACTTCTTTGGCGTGCAGGCCCGCACACCAATCTGCGCCTGGCGTGCGCCATGGGGGTTGGCGTGCGGTTATCAAACCCCGAAAACAAGACCACCAAGGTAAGCTTGGCAGTTTGGTTGGTGATAATGGATTATGTTCAAAGAAGGTTTTATAGTTGTTGAAGGTTGATCTTGTTGTCCAAAGAAATTGATTGAGTTGTTGATGTTGTTTCTTGTATTGATGTCTTGATACTTGTTTTCTTCCTTGAAGCTGTATATGTATAATGTAATAGAGGTGGTTCTTGAACCCAAAGGGTCTGGGAGCACTATGCTTCAACCAGGACTGGAACAAAGGACTGGCTCTTCTGTGTAATGTTTGTGAAGCTGTGTATATATTTCAACTGTGAACTGTACTACTTGTGAACCTCTTGTGTAATAAATATCTGTGACAGGTGTCCCACCAAAAATGTGTACTGGGTGGGATGAGGAGGAAAACAACTGGCAGGCAGAGGCCTCCTTATATAGTAAATTATGAGGGATTTTAGCCCCAAGGGACCCCCTGTATGAGGCATTTTAGCTGCCCTGTACCTGAAAATACTGAGGGATTTTGGCTAGACTATCTACAATGCATCCCTTTTATATGCAAGCTGTAAGAAAGGAATTCATGTGTTCTGTGGCTGAATAAATGGAAATTTAACTAGTACAACTGGTGGCCAACTTGTGGTTCTGTAAGTATAAAAGCAATTCAATATGCAATATGCAATATACCCCCATGCAATATACCCTCCAGCTGAGTACCTCTGGTCCTGTGATTCTCCATGTGACATCCTTGATTCTGCGTAACTTCTGATCCAGTAGAGATATGAAGGTGGTTCCAGTGAGTGACTAGGGGCTAAATTGGCCTTAGATTCCATTTCTGATGTCCATTTGTCCATATCTTGAGTCCTTCATTGGTAAATAATAAAATTTTTGAATTTTTCTCCCTTCATACACAGGAATAATGACCACACCGCCAACACCGCTTCATGGAATAAGAGCCTTAAATAATTCCCCAATCCCTGAGCATGATCCTCCTTCTGATAGTTCTGATAGTTATTCTACTAGTAGGAAATCAAAATTGTTTTCTAGTGATTATTCTACGCCACAAGTTCCCCATTAAAATATCCCAATAGAAATTTCTTTGCGCAGAGCTGTATAGTCAAGTTGGGAGAGTGTAGAACAGGATGACAAGCAATAGGTATCATTCCAGGTTACCAGTGCTTGTACCAGAGATTAATTCTAGATGTGCTAAGAGCTTTTCTGTAAGATATAGGGCAAATGATCCAAGTCAAGAGGTATTTCAAAAAGGATATTTTTAGTGAATGCTCTTCAAGGTGGTGAATTTAATATATATCTAAGATTCTGTAACTGTTTAACACTAGGGAAGAAGAGGAAGAAGACTCATTTTCATCTCAAGGTCTCTTCTTAAATATTGTTAGCTCTCCTCACAAGGTAGTAACTAGGTTGCAAACAATGATTTCATAGCTCAATTCTCAATAAGGGTCCTTTTTGACCAGTATAGCCTCTTTTCCTAAGGTGAGTTTCTACTCAGCATGTATTCTTGTTTTTTAATGCAAGCCTCCAATCATTTGTTTGTCTGGTTATAACTTATGATCTCAGCAATTTTCTATCTTCTTTCATGTTAATTATTTATTTTTTCTAGTTTGTTTGTGTTCTCTCACTCTAAGTTCTCAATCTTATTCTTGTTGTAATAATTAAACTTATATCTTTATGTACTATTCATTGATATTTTATATCAGCTGTCACATTCAAGAGTGTCACCAAATGTGTAACACTCTTGCTTGTTGACACTCCTTCTACTGATGTTCCCCCTGGTTCTTTGCTCCTTTTGCCCCTCTCCCTTGACACCATCAATTGTGTGGCTTGCGTAGTTGCCATCTATTTTTCTCTGTTGTTGGCTTGGGTTGCTTCTGTTTGCTTTGAACCTTTCACCTTCCTCATTACTCGTGTTGCTATGTCTTTAACCAAGCTGGGATTCCTGGATTGGATTCTGGCTAGATTTTGAAATCAAATAGTTAAACTCAAAAAAATGAAGGGATAGCCTAGGTTAGATGGAGGGTAGATGTTCTGATGCTGTGAGGATGAGAGGATCAGAAAGGTGTTGGGATAAATATATCTTCCTTTGGGGGGGAGATAGAGGCCTGTGCCCTACTAGAATCAATACACAAAGAAGTTTCTTTTTCTGGCTGAGGCTCAATCATGTAGCCCTGATCAGCCTGTAGGAACTGAACAGCAGGTACAGAAGATAGTTTATTACTCTTTATCAACGCCCCAGCTGTGGTCAAGCAGGTTTGGGTAAAATGTGATGATTTCAAACAACAGATGAGCAACTACAACAGAATGGATTGAGACTAGAATAGTGATAGATTAATCTATCGGCCGCCATGGCCAGACGCGCCAGCCACGCGTGCCCCAGTGTTTCCGCCGCGAGCATCGTTTTTCGAAGCAAACTTGAGGGGGTGGCCATCGCTCACTTCGAGGCGGCCCTTCTCGAGGACTATGGTAACCACTTCATCATCCTGCGAGTTACAAAAAAATGCGTTGTCAGTATATGCGGATGAGATCAGACGGGCTTCAGGTACGCACTTTTGATGATCCAAATGTATTCTCAAGTTCTTGTTTACTGGGTCGGATCAGGAGACCTTGAGCGCCTTGGCCGGTATGGAATACATCAAAAGCTGTTTTGTTAAAAGATCGATTGAGAGGAGAGGTTAAAAAAGTCGCCGATTTGGTGAGGTTGATTTTTCATTCAAAGGGGAAGAAAAACAATGGTCACGAGATCATTATACTACATCTCGGATTTCTTAGCTGACAGCTTACAATCGACAATCTCAACCAGTGGGACGGTTTTGTCTCCTCCCAACCATTTCTTGTATGCACCAGCGTCGGCGATTATGCAGATGAATTCGTCCGTCCTGCGATGATGGAAAATGCGGGTTAGTAAATGAGACTTGGAGAAGTGCTGTGAAGAGACTGACGAGGTCGAATCTGGTTTGTAGATCACTTTGGTAATCTGCGGGGACATGTTGTGCTTGATTGGAAAGAACCGGATGAAAGGGTGCTAAGGAGAATGATGGAGCTTTGTGTATGGTGATGGATGAAAGAGGTGAGTGTCTTCGAAGGGAAGAGGCCGAGGGCTGCTCGAGGGGTATCCAGTCGATCAGACATATCAGACATCTGATCAGCTGACGTCATCCCCATGATCATGATTCATCAAACCCTTGACACTTCATGAACATGTATCAAGCAAGGTTTACCTGGCAACAGCCATCCATTGGTTGCTTTTGGCTTGTTGATGCCAAACACTGATCTACGGCTCCACTTGCAGATTGAGCTTGACGGCAGTTCTGCCGGCGACCTGGTCTGAGGGCTTGGATCCCTGACCAAGTCGGCCCGCCGCAAGGCTGACCTTCCTGATCAGTAAGGCAAGCCGGCCATCCCGGCTGGCGGGTCGGGATGGACGGCTCACCGCAAAGACCGGGCCCACCATCTTGACTCCTCATGAGGCAGCAGAGTCGGCTCGCCTCCAAGGTCCTCATGGGCCTCTGATGAACGTTATGCAGCTGTCCAGGGACACGAGGCGACCCGTCGAACGCCTCGACAGGTGGGTCAGGCGGCTTCTCGTTCCCATGGCGGCTGACTCCGCCAACTTGTCCGATCTCATCAGTCTGCTCCTTCACCCGAGATAACCTGGTCAATTGCCTAATCCAGTCCACCCAAATCCATACACCATGGGTGGTTCTTGTCAACTCCAGGCACCACAATCGACCCAAGCGGAAGCAATAACGACCCTAGACAAGCAGCATGAACAATTCATCTACCTAAATCACCCGGGTGCCTCGAGGAATCTCGGTCGGCCTCCAAGGAAACAGTCGGAATCACCCATACGTCATCGACAGGCTGCAAAGTTTGGCCAACAGATCGCGGGTAGGCTTCGTTGGTCAAACTCATATACATAACCCAGAAGCCCCCAATTATTGGACAATAATTCGGGGCGTAAAGGAGTTTTTGGACTTCAAAGTAACGAAAAGGGGGAAGATAAAAGGCCGTACTCTGTATATTTACCTTCTTGATCTATCTTGATCACACTAACGTACTTATTTTCGGATTCGTTGTCTGGCGTCACTTATAGTTATCTGGGCAGACCCCACCTGTTAAAGAGTATCACAATAATCACAAGGCCCCAGAAAATCACGAGGCCCCAGAATCTAGCGCGATGGCCCCAAGGATCAACCGCTACTCTGTATGAAAAAATTAAATAGTCTAAGTAAGAAATAGTTAGAAATATACAGTTAAAATAAGAAAAATCGGATTCAAGTCTAAAAAAGCAAGCTCGGAGTAACACAAGTGTTTGAAAGCCTGGAGGAAATAACTGTTTTCTCCTTCTTATTGTTGGCTTTCCACTTATTCAAGCCTTCATGCAAAGCATCTAACCACTGAAGTGGCTAAATGCTGTTGAAAACACGGCTCAGTATTGTTTGAGGTGATTCTATGACATGCAAGGAGCAGGATTTAAGATGAATTGCTTGTTATCTTTGTGGGTGATCTCGAATACCTTCACCTTGCTATTTCTCCTCTCTCATATCACAATCCGCGTTGGTGTAAGCTTGCAATTACCATCGTGGCGATTGTGTTTTAGGTTCAAACAACTCTCCACTTCACGGATTCATGTGACATCAACGATAAACTATCCATCTGCAGAGCTAAGTCCTTCACGAAGGAAAATTTTCAGCGGATTGAAACCGCAAAAAATAGAAAAAGTGCAGAGCAAAAGGGAGACCCAATTATGGCGTTGGGGTCAAACTCACCTGGTGGCAACGCCGGGACAGTTGGTCCCAACCGGCTGTCGGGATCAAGCTGACCATTTGGCCCTGAAGGTAGGGTCTCACCGACCTGCCTGCCTGGTCAGTCAGAGAAAGGCCAAAGCTGCCACCGGTATCGGCCCGACTCTAGACACGACGCCGGGATCATTCCGACTGCCCTAATTAGTAATCGGCATCGGGATCCATTTGACTACTCAGATGACGCCGGGATCAGGCCGACTTGTCCCATAACACTCATCCCAACATCAATCCGCCGTCGGATCAGCGCTGACGTCTGGAACTGTACCCGTAGTGTAGATCCACTGACAAGAGTAAAAGTTACCGTGCATAAATACTTATTTTTGCATCTTGGCAAATCAATACACCTGTTTAACGTTGCTCATGGAGGCATTGATGACCCCAGGCATATTCTTTCCTTTATTCTCCTTGGTGGAAGCAGGTGGTAGCTGTGAATTCGCACATCATTCCTACACCCCAACCCCAATATTCTATTTCTATTCTACGCCCAAAGAATTATTTAACTTGTGGGCTCAAGGTCTTCATTCTTCTACATCTGACTCCCAAAAATCCTCTGGGATCTGGTTTCTCGATTCTATTTTTTTTTCTTTTTTGGCCCACCAACCATCGACCTTCCACTCCAATTGGCAGGGCGAGTCTATAAATCTGTGTGCGGTTGACTATTATCAATTTCGAAAGATAGTTAGCAGTCATTAACTTCTCTCGAGTGGATCTAAGCAGCCCATCAATGCAGCCGCCAGTCTTCATGGGAAGAGAGGCACATGCCGCCCGGTTGGTATCCACCTTCTTGATCATGTTTTTTAGCCTAGTTACTTTCATTTCGGCTGCCACTCAACTCGACAAAATAGTCCACGAAAAAAGGGTGCCGAACACCTTGTGGAAGCGACAAAAAGAATTCCAATCAATCGTCGGACCTTCCTTCCTTGTTTCCCTGAAGTTTGGTCTCAAACAATCCAATCTCGACACGCTACACGACGAATTAATGAAGGTCTCTCATCCGGATTCATCGTCTTATGGTCACCACTGGAGTCCCGAAAGGGTTAAAGAGCACTTTTCACCTTCTGCGCAGGCGATAGATGAAGTTACAGCTTGGCTGAAAAGCCAGAAATCTCATTTGGGAGCTCTTCATCAGCCCCGAATGAGTCGAGGAGGGACATGGATCAACATTCAGCTCCCTCTATCGGAGGCGGAGAATCTGTTAGATACCAAGTACCATTTGTACTTACATGAGGCAACGGGTCAGACCCACATCGGTAAGGAATTTTTTATCACACCTGAGTAAGATTAGAAGCCAAAATTTAAGCTAATCTAACTTGCTTTTATCTCAATTTTTCGCCGTCATACTAATGACGGACCGGATGACACGCAGCGTGTGAGGATTACAAGCTTCCCGAGCGTCTTTTCCGGCACATCGATATGGTCATGCCCACTGTCCATTTTGATACGGTACCAACTACTAATAAGTATCAATATGCGGGGTTCAGTCAAGATGTGCCGATAAATTCTAGGAAACAAAAGCGAGAAATGCCCACAGGTCAATCTTCATCTGCCCCTCAAGTTATTCCGGTCCCTGGAGCAGCTCGACGGCTAGGCAATCCAAGTAGTGGAAACATCCCACATTACTCGAAAGACTTTAATCCCTCCGAAATCTCAAATATGAAACACGATCTTGCGCACTGTTCGAATGTGACAACGATAGAATGCTTGAAGTGAGTCAAACCAGGTTTTCATCTTTAGATTTCGAAATGCACTGTCTTTTTTCCAACTGAGAGCACTATTGATTTTTCGTTTTGATTGATTCAGAGCCCTTTACAAATTTGGAGACTATCAGATGACCTCACCAACTAAACACACTCTAGCAATTGGTAAGTCGCGTCTTCGGTTTTTTTTTTATTTAGATTTTGAGCTTCAGTGAACACGCTGTAACAACTGAAAACTCTATGGATTGGCTTAATTCATTGGTAATCTCTATTCAAAGTCGAGTACACGCCACAATCAGTCATCTACAAGGATATGGATTTGTTTTTCTCAGTTGAGCTAAAAAAATGCATGTTTTCCCTGGGATGCTCTTAACTTATTCTTGAGGTCTTTTCCCAGACATTCGCACCAAAGGTCAAAGGATCCCGTCCGAATCTGATCCCTATTGATGGAGGTAAGCTCCGTAATATACGTACCATGCTCAATCGTGACTTGAACTAAAAATTTCCATGTAGGCGAGCTAAATCAAGAAACAACGGAATTTGGCTTGAACGGCGAAAGCAATCTTGATTTGCAATACTCCATGCCACTTGTGCATCCTCTTAATGTTGAGTTATTTCTACCTTATTTTCGAGCTCATCAGGCATACATAGGCACTCAAGCTTACCCAGTGGCGGCCCGCTTCCTCGTGGTATTGTCATCATCGCTGTTTCAGATCTCGCTATACCAAGTGGGGGATCCCGAAATTGGTGGAAGCTTCAACAACTTGTAAGCCCGGTTATTTTCACATAAGATAAGCATGAGTAGTGCCAAAAAACTGACCTTTCATCCTCTGATTAGTCTCGATGCATTGGACTCCAGCTATTGCTCTTCGCCATTAGACCCTATGCAAGATGGCCTTTACCCAAATCCACGCGGCTACCCCAAGCGTGACTGCGGGATAGTTAACCCAGCCAATGTCATTTCAACATCTTACGGTAAGTCTGGGGCTTCGGGGAGTCTTGAGTAACAACTGAAAACAACACATCCACCCTACTCTAGGTATGAACGAAGCAGATGCTACACCGTCTTACTTGATAAGACAATGCAACGAGTACGGAAAGCTAGGACTCATGGGGACAACTTTTCTATTTTCTTCAGGGTACGCGCATTTTTCTTGTGTTTTTTTTTCTGTTGGCTCTTTTTACCAAAGGGAAAGCTAGACTTTTTCCCAAGAGCCTAATATTCCTATCGTCTGCGCGGTTTTCAAGGGACAACGGTGTGGCTGGTAATCGGGGGGTTTGTCTTAGTCGAGATGGTAGTCAAAGTGTTGAGGGCAAGGTGAGTGGTGCAAAATTATGCTTTCGGTTTAATTTTACATTAGTACATAACACAATCCGTTTCACTTTTTTTTAATCGCCACATCACAAAAAAGATCTTCAACCCGTCTTTCCCGGGCACATGTCCTTATGTCACATCAGTCGGCGCGACCCAAGTCTCGTCTGGTAAGACGGTCCAAGATCCGGAAGTGGCATGCTTTACAAAAATACAAAGTGGTGGCGGATTTAGCAACGTGTTTAAAATGCCGAATTATCAAGCTTCAGCGGTCCAAAATTTCTTCAAAAACCATCCTCCGAAGATTTCACAAGATAGGTACAACTCTTCAATGCGAACCAGGGGATTCCCAGACCTCAGTGCAAACGGTGCAAACTAGTAAGTCTTACCGTTATTTGTCATTTTTTACCAACTCTTATTAAAGGTTTACTTCTCACTCAAATATTGGTGATTTACTGCTCTAAAGCGTTGTGGCTGTCGAGGGTAAATTTGGACTGGTTTATGGGACTTCCGCTTCAGCACCGGTTGTGGCATCGATGCTTACCATGATCAACGATGCAAGGATAAGTGTGGGCAAGAAGGTAGGTGAAAGGAAGAGACCCGTGGTCAAGCAACGCTCCAGCTGAATCCTTTGGGATCCAATTCGCAGCCTGTAGGATTTATAAATCCAGCGATTTATTCCAAACGATTTCGCAAAGCTTTTAACGACATCAAGTAAGCTGAAATCTTTTAAGAGTATTTGTTTATTGTGGCGGTTAACATGTGGAACATTTTAGGGACGGAACAAATCCAGGGTGTGATACTGAAGGATTTTCTGCCGTAACTGTGAGTATGCCTTGTTGAAAGTTAGCTTCAATGGAGTAGAATCGACTCCGATTTCTGATCTTATTTTGATATTTGATTCTGAATCAGGGTTGGGACCCCGTCACTGGTGAGTACACAGCAGACTCAGGGGAGCTTTTAATTTTAATACTATTGGTGTTCTAACTGTGTCATCCCAAATTTTAGGCCTCGGAACGATGGACTTCACAAAGTTCTTGCCAATATGGAAAGATTTGTGAAGTCAATGTCATTGAACTCTTCACCGATTCATCTAACCTAGATTTAGGATCCCCTTCGGTCGTCTCTCAGAGAGAGAGGGATCTTATCTTGACCTTTGCCCACCAGATCATAAACTTATGTCGCGAAGAAACTTCCGTTTGCCTCGTGAACGTTGTCACACCTTGAAATAATAATAGTTTTCTTGGCTCACTGAACCAGTCACGATTACAGATCTTTTTAATTGAAATTCAATCAATAGATACTCAATCAAAAATCTCACTCTTGGTAGCCTTACTCGCCATCTGCTGCTGCATTTCCAAGTAAAATGTGCTGCACCAGTTACCAGCGTTTGGCTTGAGAACAAGATAAAATTGGTGAAAACTCGTAATTTGTGTCTATGGTCCCATCGGTTCAAAGCTTCGTGATAGCTTGTTCGATGCGATTTGTGCTTTGCCCGATTCATGTCCTAGACATGTCATGAAGTTCATCGCCCCCCGGCTATCAGACAATGAAACCACAAGATCACGTTCCCAAGCAAAGTCACAGTCGCAGATACATAGCCTGAAGTAAACCTTGAACAAAAATCAGCCCCTGTCACGATTTTGAGAAACTGATTCCACCTACCGAGTTGCGAACATCAATTAAAAGATCAATAATATGAGAAAAACTCAATGAAAGAAAAGTAATGACAAGTAACATTGACTATAAACCAGAAATCATCAAGCTAAGGATATGAAATTCAACCATAATTGTCTAGCTCAGCTTGATCTTTACAGAATAACTTTCAGATTTTTCCTGTTGCACAATGGAAAGAATCCAGAATCACAACAGAAAAAAAAACAAATTAGATAAAGATTAATGAGAACTGAATAGAATAGAAAGACAAGCACCACTATCATGCAAAACACAATCATGGGAAAGGAGAAGAAAATAGATAAGGATTGAAGAATAAGTGTTAAGATTTAAGGGTGGTTTGGAAGAGAAGTGATGAGTTGATCCAAGAGGATTTAGATGATTAGTGTATGATGAAGGATGATTCAGAAGAAGGGTGAAGTTGGATGCAAAATGCATAGGCATGTTGTATCAGAAGAAGTTGAGTAGCTTGAATTTCTAAATTTGAGGAATATACTAGCTTTGAAAACCCATCTTGTTTTCTCAAAGACAGTAGAGGAACTTTTATCAGAGTATGGCTTACAGGTTTCTACTTCTCCTTTCTCTTGAT